GCCATCTGTATGTCTTCTTTGGAAAAATGTCTATTCAGATCTTCTGCCCATTTAAAAAATGGGCAGAGGATTTTGTTTGTTTGCTATTCTATTTTATGAATTCTTACTATATTTTTGGATGTTAACCCCTTATCGGATATATAATTTGCAAATATTTTCTCCCATTCCATACACTGCCTTTTCATTTTGCTGATGGTTTCTTTTGCTGGACAGAAACTTTTTAGTTTGAAGCAGTCCCACTTGTTGATTTTTGCTTTTGTTGACTTTGCTTTTGTTATCAAACCCCGAAAATCATCACCAAGACTGATGTCACCACCTATGTTTTTTTTTTTTTTTTTTTTTTTTAGGAAAGGAGTTTAATGGTTTCAGATCTTACACTCAAGTCTTTAATCCATTTTGAGTTAATTTTTGTGCGTGGCGTAAGATAGTGGTCCAGTTTCCTTCTTTTGCATGTAGCTGCTCAGTTTTCCCTGCACTATTCATTGAAGAGACTTTTCCCATTATATATTCTTGGCTCCTTTATTGTAAATTAATTGACTATATGTGAGTGAGTTTGTTTCTGGGCTCTCTATTCTGTTATATTGATCTATGTGTCTGTTTTTATGCCAATATTATACAGTTTTGATTACTATAGCTTTGTAATATAGTTTGAAATCAGACAGCATAATGCCTCCAGCTTTGTTCTTCTTTCTCAAGATTTCTTTGGCTATTCAGCGTCTTTTGTGATTCCATACAAATTTTATGGTTATTTGTTCTAGTTCTGTGAAAAAACCCATTGGAATTTTGATAGGGATTATTTGAATCTGTAGATCACTTAGGGTAGTATGGCTATTTTGATAATATTAATCCTTCTAATCCATGAGCATGAAATATCTTTCCACTTAGTTCTGTCTTCTTCAATTTTTGTCATCAATATCTTAAAATTTTCAGTGTACGAGGCCTTTTACCTCCCTGGTTCAATCTATTCCTAGGTATTTTATTCTTTTTGATGAAGTTGTAAATGGGATTTTTTTTTCTTAATTTTTCTGATAGTTCATTATTAGTGTATAGAAACATGACAGATTTCTGTGTATTGATTTTGTACCCGGCAGTATTACTAAAACCATTTATTAGGTCTAACCACCCACTTCTTTACCTTGAGTGTACACACAAAGGCTGTGCGTTGGATGGGGGGTGCAGTGTGTGAGGAAGGAAAGGAAAAAAAGAATTACTGTTATATCCTATTAGGAACTGGGGAGAGAAAAACTGCCAGGAGGAAAAACTGAAGGGGACTTTTAAAATATGGTGAATTTGAGACAGAAGAGTTATAAGAGGAAAGAACGATTTGTGTTTTCATTCACTGAGTATTTTTTGGTACAGACATTGTACCAGGCCAGTGTGTGCATATTTATTGAACTTAAACCCTAATGAGAAAGAACAAACAAAATTACAATTTATTTTTATGGATAAGCAGAAATCAGGAGGCCTCATTGGTAGTGATGGAGATTGGTGGTGGGTCACAGGGGATGGATACGGAGTCCTTCTGGATAAGATGAAGTTAACATGTGAAGAGCAGCAGGATACTTCCAGCAAGAGCAAAGACCATGAGGCAAGCAAGAGCTTTGTGTGTTCACAGAACTGAAAGTTCAGTTTGGTTCCAGTGAATACAGAAAGAGTGGCCCCTGATGAGTTGGTGAGCTGGTGGGGACCAGCTCACGGATGACATTCTAGAGTATAGTCATGGTTAATGTTTAGGCTTTGTCTCTAATGAAATGGGAGAGCACTGATGGGTCTTAAGTAAGGGAGTGATATGATGCCTTTATGTGTTACAAATATTCCTCTGGTTGCCGTATGCAGAATACACTGGAATAAAGCAAGAGTGGAAACTGACAGATTAGAAAGGAAATATTTGAATAAAAGATTGATGGAGGCTCAGATGCAGGTTTAGGGAGGTAGAGAAGGAAACAGACTTGAAAGCAGATATGATAGCACTTGCTGATGAACTGGATGTGAGAGAATCTGCTTAATTTTGGTTTTGAAACTGCTGGTTGCATTTACTGAAATGGGAACATTCGGGCTTGAACATGTCAGGTTCCTGTGAGCAATTTAAAGATGAGTCCAGTAGGAAGTTAGATATGCAAACTCGGGGCTCTGAGGAGAGGACTGGAAACATGTACTGGGGAGTTCGCAGCTTACATATGATTTACAGCCATGGGAATGGATGAGATCCATGAAGGAAATGTCCAGTGCCAGGAACCTCCATGTGCAGCAGCCTCCACATATAGTAGAGGAACACAATGGGCAACATCTCCAGCCTTTTCCCAGGGAGGAAGACAGATTAGAGAGGAAAGGAGCGTTCCGCAAAGGAGAGGTTGATTATGTGGGTTGAATATGGCTAAGAGGTCAAACGAACACAGTGAAGACAAAAGAGACCACTGGTTTAGCAATACAGAGGTCACTGGTGAGATAATCAAGGGACTAGGTTTAGGGTAGATGGAAGTTAGGAGGGAGTGGAAAAATCCATAGTTCTTTAGAGAAGGTTAGCCTAGAAGGAGACCTAAAATGGAGTGGTACCTGCTACTCTGTGTTTATCAGTGTGTTTGTCTTAAGCAACTCCCACGTGTTATTCATTTCTTGTGGCCAGTCTGACAAACTGCCATAAACTTGGCGACTTACAACAACACAAATTTATCCTTGCATTTTTCTGAAGGCCAGAAGCCTGAAATCCGTTTCACCGGGACCAAATCAAGGTATTGGCATTTCATGCTCCCTCTGGAGGCTTCAGGGAAGAATCTATTCCTCTTCTCTTCTGTCTTCTGGTGGCTGTTGGCATTCTCTGGTTTCTGGCCTCACCACCTGTCTCTGCCTCTACGGGCACATTGTCCCTCTCCTCTTCCACATGTGCCCACTCTCCCCCTACCTCTCTCTCATAAGGCTCCTTGTGATTGCATTTAATCCAGGAGCACTGTCCCATCTCAAGATGCCCAACTTCCTCATAGCTGCAAAGACCTGGTTTCCTTATAAGGTGACATTTACATGTTCCCTGTACCTTTCAGGGCTGTTATTTGGCCCGTTATACTGTACTAGGTCACTAATTCATTCCTGAGACTCTGAAGTTATTTGTTTGTAGAGTTGATGATTTTTAAGTGCATCACACTTCTTATTCTGGGATTTCTTGGGATTTAAAACGTCTATTGAAATATTTAAATGTACAATTCCTTTTTCCTAGACGAATTGTGGTTATTAACTTCTAATTAATATTTGAGACAATACCTAAATATAACTTCCAAAAAGAAGTTCAACTAATAGTTAACAACGGGAATGGACTTTTCTTATTAACACTGCCATTATTAAGTACCAGGGTCAATCTTTATGAATTCTAAATAAATAAGAAGTGAATGATTAAAATGAGTGAGACAGACACATAATGCAGTGTTACTATGTTGACCTTGGTGGTTCTAAATTTGTTCCTACAGACATTATTTAATATGAATAAAAATTATTTTAGCTGTAGGTAATTTAATAAAATAATTTATACACATATATCAATAGAGAACCATAAATTATACATGTGTGTGGTTTTAAATAGATCCACTTAAATGCCTCTATATGGTGTGAAACGTATTCAGATCTCTGTCTAGGCTCTCCTTACATCTAGGCTCCCCACTACGCATCCTTTGGGATATACTCATCCTTTGGGATATACTCATCCTTTGGGATATACTGATTTGGGACCTCCTCCAAGCAGCATTTCCTGCCTCATTCAAAATCGTAATTCCCTGTGCCTGAATCTTACTTTGCCTGTCTCATGACTCTGTCTACTCCCAAAAGACGGTATCTCATTTACGTTGGAGCCCTCTGCACCTGGTACTTTTTTTTTTTTTTTTTTTAACTCTGGGCAGAGCTGGGCCCTGGCTACTTTGTGCCACCATTGCTGAGCAGAAACCTGGAGACAAGCAGAACTGTTAACCATCTGCCCGGATTCTCTCCTTCTTCCGGCCGTTCCCACCCTCCCCGTCTCATCACAAGTACATCTCAGGGGTAGCTATCCTTTTTAATTTAGCAGCTTTCAGTAACATAGACTTTTCACACAATAAAGACTAATTTTTACATAATAGTCTTTTGTGTATGTACTTCTTTATAAAAGCAAATTTTGCTCACTTTACTGGCTTTGTTTCTTTTAAAAAAAATTAGCTTGTTTTTGACAAATAATTCACCAATGTAAATGAAATCCCCTCAAGCCAAATGCACTCCTTTTCCCCAGGGCCTTGTTCCTAAAACAATTCCCAGACCTTTAAGGAAGTACTTTCAAACACTGAAATCAGGGAGAAAATATGACACAATACGTACGTATTCAAAGACTGAACTCCCTTGAGCATCTAATCCTGTGGCCCTGGTCACAGCCGCCACACCCTTGGCCTGCCTCAGAGAGAGGGTGGGCGTGCGTGGCTCAGGCGGCCTTCTCTGGGGATGCTGTGGGACTCCCGGGGGGAACTGACTGTGGAGAGCGCCCCGCTCAGGATGTCTTGAGCCCCAGTGCCAGCCCCACCTGCTTATTAGCTGCATGACACTGGGTAAACCACTTAACTTCTCCGGTCTCTCACTTCGCTCACCCTATAAAATGATGCCAATGAACGAAACTATCTGCTAAGTTGCTAACAATATGATAGGCATCGACGCCTCCTCTTTACATGGATCATCACTTCACACGCTACATGAAAATGCAGAACTCTTCCCATTCTAAGATGGTTCCAACGCGGAGTTTACCGGTGAGCAAGAGTTGCAGGGACACAGATTTCCCAGGTACCGCTTAGGAACTGTCTGCCTACACTGTGTCCACACACATTTTTTCCATTTAAATAATTTCAAAAGCCCTATTTTCAGCATCCATTTAGCTTCAAAGCTATTCGCTTTAATTGTAGCCAGAGACAAAGTAGGGGGGAGGCCATTTTAGGTCAACGTGGCCCTGCGTGTACCAACACTTTAATCATCAAGCCCATCATTAGATGCGACGTACTCACCACTGGATGAAGTGGGGTTCCTGGAAACATAAATTGCATCTGCTGGGCAAGCATCGCGGCAGCAGTTTTTTGCTGGATCAAATTGTTCCTCCCATTAATTTCTAGTTGAGTTTTTAAATGTGTTGGAGGATGAAGATACTTGCAGTTCTCTCTTGAACAACGGCCCTGTAAAACGAATGTTTTGGTTTTAGGACTGTTAGGAGTAGCCGTCATCTACTGTCAACCATTTCACAATTGCTCCACGTATACAAAGGTAAGGATCCTGTGCGTGCGTGCGAGTGCGTGCATGTGTGCGTGTGCGTGCGCATGCGCACGCATGCTGGAACGTACAACAGACTTGAATCAGGCATTAGATGATTATCAACCTTGCTCAAACCTGTTCAGCAGAGAAGCTTCCTGAGATTTTTTTGCCGTTGTTCTGTCTAATGGATTCCAACTCTGACAACAGACTCTAAAGAAACCTGAGTGCTAGGAGTAAAGGCAGACCCTTCTAGGCGGTGTGGAAGGCAACCAGAGGAGCATTTTTATGGGGACTTATCAAAAGGACTCTTTGAACTTGCTCTATGTTGGTTTGTGCATGCTGGGGTGATGACCAAATATGAATGATGACGTGCCGAATTTGTGCAGTGGGGACAGTAATAAGAACTTCTTGAAATGCATGTTCCAGATTGGCTGAAGATACCCCTAGTCCAAATCATTGAAGAAGAGACAATGGTCCTATAGGAGTGGATATTTCTTAGTAATAGATGCATTAGTGAAAATTCCAGGCATAAACTCAGATAATTACCTGCAGGTAATTAGTTTGGTACACAAAAGCTGTTACCCCATGTCCCTGCCCCACTCCCATGACAGTTGTATCAAATTTAATGTCACGATATGACACAGTGAAGAGTGTTTATGGCTAAAGTAATATTTTGACGTTAAAGTCGGCACAGTGAAAAAAATTAATTAGGTGACAGGTGTGCATAAAGCCAGTCTCGAAGAATAGTTGCAAATGGAGTGTTCATACTGAATTCCCAAGTTTTCAAAATTACCAATTGAGAGAATCATGTTGATGTGTGAATTATGCAATTCCTGGAGAAAGAAGAGCAGACTGTGCTAACCAGTGTGAGTATTATCATTCCCTAAAGAATTAGTCTATTTGCAACCAAGAAAAGAGAATATGGGTTTGTTTACCAGATATAAAAATAATTTTAAATGGCAAGCGTAGTGGATCTGGGGAGACAAATTTGTTTATAGTCATCCTAATTCTAAACATCTGGAGTTCTCCCTCCGTTTCCCGCAAATTTCAGCTGCACTTTTGACAGTGTAAGCCCCTCTCCAGCGTGAACCTTCCCCTGCCGCGGTGGAGAAGGGCAGATGTCAGTGGCAGGCTTGGTCCCTGTGGTCTGGGCTCATCAACCGATGCTGTTCTGAGGCTCTACTGTTAGCATTAGAGGTCGTGTCACCCTCTGCAGGTAGGACACAGGCAGGTACTGGGAACATCAAAAGGAATTGGTCCCATTTCTGTTAATAAAATTCTGTAACAATGGTTATAGGTCAGTATGTCTCCTCTTTTTTTTTTTTTTAAAGATTTTATTTATTTATTCATGAGAGACAGAGAGAGAGAGAGACAGAGGCAGAGGGAGAAGCAGGCTCCCTGCGGAGCAGGGAGCCCGATGCGGGACTCGATCCCAGGACCCTGGGATCATGACCTGAGCCGAAGGCAGACGCTTAACCGACTGAGCCACCCAGGCATCCCGGTCAGTATGTCTCCTTAGTCGCAAGCTCATAGTTTGAATGTGTCCTGCAGCTTCCTATGTGTGAAACAGCCATCCCGGGGCAACCATTGGAAGGTCTGTTATAAAGACACAGGTGAACTGGAACCACAGTGAAAAATAATCTAAATCCAAAAGGCCTAGGAATCTCTCTCTTTCTCTCTCCATCTACTTGTCTCTGCAGTTTTGGGGAGAGAGTTTTTATCCTAACTTTCCTTTGCTCTTTGTTTTGTGATGTTCTCCCTTGACAATTGCTGAGTTTGCTAAAATCAAATCTCCAAGAAGCGTGCGTATTGGGTCAGCTCCTACAACACAGGTGTGTGGCCAGTCTCTGGATTGGGTGCGTGTAGGCCAAGTGCCCAAATATACTCTTATCATCTAACATGGGAGGTGGTTCATGGGATACAAGACGTAGCTATGGACCATCAGCCCGGGTGGGAGAGGATTAAACAGAATGGCATTTCTCGTACAGAAAGTATGCACCCCAGACTTCTCTCTGACAACCTCAACCCACACCCTCTTTAGGAACCATCACTTCACCTGGAGGCTGACACCCAGAAAGGCTCAGGTATACAAGATAACCATATAGGCCTGTGTGCACAAACATACAGCTGGTCCTAATGAGGGGATTGGGGAAGGAGAGTTCCATACAATGGTGATGGAATCTGTGAAATGTCACACTTCTACCAGTTTGGCTCTTCATTTTTGCTCATTCATATAACCGTCCCTTTGATTCACTAGTCTTCTAATGTAATCCTTTGTAGCTACATGTAAAACTTTCGATTAGGCTAGAAAAATATGGTTTTCTTGTAAATGCTATTATCTTTTGATACAATTGGGACACTTAAGGAACTGTATAAACTATTTTCAGCCAAGAGAACATGATTTACAGCATTGAATTAGTAATTTATTGATGGAACCTTCTTTTTCATGAGAATTAATGCAATTTCCTAGTGTCCTTACTTACATACTTGGAGTAAGGCATATTATTGATCACCTACGTGCCAGACAATCTATACATGGTTATCTCATTTTCCCCTTACAACAGCCATAAGGGTACCTATCTCACAAAATAGCAAATGGGCTCAGAAATATTAAGGAACTTTTCTGAGGTCATATAATCGGTAAGCGGTAGAGCTAGATTCTAAATTCATGTCGACCTGACTCAATTACATCACTACACCAAGCTATTTATTAGCAATAATTAAAATCTAGGAAAGATAAAAATCTAGTGCTATCCTTGATAAGATAATACGGGTGCATATATATAATAATAGGGATGCATAACACAATTTAAAATATAGTAAAATATATATGAGAATTTGCGAATGGAAAAAGATTATTTGCCTGGGTCTATCCCTCTGTAGGGGGATGGAGAAATGGTTAAGCTCACAGGCTCTGGAGGCAGACTCCTGGGCACATAACTTGGTCTGCTCTTTCCTATCTGTGTAACTTTGAGCAAACTACTTGAATTTCTTGTGCATCAGTTGTTTTTTTTTTTTTATCTGTACAACAAAAACCATGAATCGTGCTTTCTCTAAGGGCTGTTGTGGGATGCAATGAATTAATATATGCACAAAGTTTAGAGGTACATACGCCTGGTACATAGTAAGCACTGAGTAAATGTTGTTAATATTACCAAAGAAGGAGAAAATATTTGTATCTGATATTTTGTTTACAGGACGTGCAGATCACAGATTTAGTTGCATTCTATGGCTTTTTGTTTCTTCCGTAGAACGGAGTTTTACTTTAAAACATGATGAAAGCTACTTAATTATACTTATTCAAGTATCTTATATTTAAAATTATTTTCAGGTCTCTGGGGTATTTCTGCAAGTATGCATATTTAAAGAAACAGACCTGGGGTGCCTGGGTGGCTCAGGTCATGATCTCAGGGTCCTGGGATCGAGCCCCAGGTCAGGCTCCCTGCTCAGCGGGGAGTCTGCTTGTTCCTCTCCCTCGGCCCCTCCCCCCCCAACTCGTGCTCTTGCTCTCACTCTCTCTCAAATAAAAAAATAAAATCTTAAAAAATAATAAAAAATAAATAAACAGCCCTGCACCAGAGTTCAATCTAGTATTAATATTGTGAAGTATGTTGCATCATGGATGTTTGAGGCATACTAATTCAAGAACCGGGGAAATCTAGGCAGAGTTTTAGTAAAGGATCCTCCAGGATTCTAAAATCCTCAAGGAAAAGCAACTGTCAAAATATAATGAGCTATCTGACACAGTAAACAATTTGTAAGGAAGTTTTTGTGAAGGCGTAAGATTTGTCAGGATATGAATCATCACACAAAAGCTGCTGATTATCATAGCAAGTTGTCATAACCAAAAGGGAGAGGGCAGTGTGCAGAAATGTACGGCGTCTCTGTGTATCATTGTAAAACACAACAGCGGCGTCAAAAGTGGTGTCTCCCGATTTTAGTCCAAGAAATAAAAATAAAAATGTCTTGGAAAAGTCTTCCTGTGGCCTCTAGGATTGTTTTTTGTTTTATTTCAACTCTCCCTCCCTTTTAGTTCTTGGTTAAACACTGTGTCTGGGGAAGTGAGAGAAGTAGGGTCCGGCCTCTAGAGAAGAGCACTGCATGGTTTCTGTGGGATGGGGATGGGAGGGTGCCTAGGCGGGGTCCATGTGGAGAGTCTTCTGGAAATGAAACACAGGAGCCCAGGCGAAGGCAGGCAGATGGGCCCATCCAAGGGGCCAATGTGGGGCTCAAACTCCTGAGGACATCAGGCCTTCTGGTGCTTGGCTCACCCCTGGGGGTATGGAGACCACAAGTGGTCTGGATCACACTCACCATTGTCCTTGGTGTACTTTCATTTAACCAAAGGACGACACAGATAAATGTACAATTATAAATTGTGATATGTGTTCTGAGGAGAATGGTGAGAGAGGGTGGTGGGTCAGGGAAGGACGCTGAAGAAGTGACATTTAAACTGGGACCCAAAGGATAAGAAGGAACATGGCAAGGGAGTGAGTGAGTGGTGCCTGTGTGTGTGTGTGTGTGTGTGTGTGTGTGTGTGTGTTGAGGGAAGAGAACACACAATGAGAACGAGAGAAACAGAATGTGCGAGGAGAATGTGCTAGGTGAATGTAACATCAGGGGTCATGCATGAAGTTTCCTGAGGCTGGAGTACAGAGGGCATGCATGTCAGAGCAGGGGTGAGGAGACAGCAAACAGGAGCAGACTGGAGCCAGGGTGAGGGGTTTGAACTTCATTGCCACGGAGTTTTTAAGCAGGAGCAGAGCATCGTTTTATGCTAACTACATGCAAAATTGTACTCTGACTATTCGATTTCATACTACTTTTATTTACTACTCTCTCTACTTTTATTATAGTTTGCATTGTTTGGAGACCACTTATTTAAAAACAAAAGCAGAATTCTGTCAGCATCTACACAGAATTT